GCTAGGACTTCCAGTAACATGATGCATAGAAGTGTGGACTTACTTGCTTTGTTTTTAATCTTAGAGGACAAACGTTCAGTCTTTCACCATTTAGTATGATGTTAGCTGTGGGATTTTCATATATGGCCTTTATTATGTTGAGGTAGTTTCCTTCTATTTCTAGCTTTTTAAAAACAATATTTTCATTATAAAAAAGGGTTGAATCTTGTTAAATGCTTTTCTGTATCAAGGTAAATGATCTTGTGATCTTTATTCTTCATTCTGTTAATGTGGTATATCATATTAATTGATTTGTGTATGTTGAATCATCCTTGCATTCAAAGGATAAATCTCACTTGGTCATGGTATATAATCTTTTTAATGTACTTTTGAAATTGGTTTACTAATATTTTGTTAAGGGTTTTTGCATGTATACTCATCAAAGATATTGGTCTGTAGGGTTTTTGGTTTTTTTTGGTTTTGTTTTTTGTAATGTCTTTGGTTTTGGTGTCCGGATAATACTGCTGTCATAAAACAAATTGGTAAGTGGTCCCCTCCTCTTCAATTTTTTGAAAGAGCTTCAAAAAATTTGCATTAGTCTTCTTTAAATGTTTGATAGAATTCACCAGTGAAGACATCTGGTCCTGGGTTTTTTTTGTTGGGTGGTTTTTTAATATTGCTTCAACCTCATTACTAGCTATTGTCTGTTCAGATTTTGTTTCTTCCTGATTCATTAGTAGGTTGTATGTTTCTAGGAATTTATCCATTTCTTCAAGGTTATCCAATTTGTTAGTGTATAATTGTTTATAGTAGTCTTTTATGATCCTTCCTCTTCACCCCCTCTTGGCATCAGTTGTAATGTCTCTTCTTCCATTTCAGATTTTATTTGAGTTTTCTCTTTTTCTTAGTCTAGCTAAAGATTTGTCAGTTTGTTTGTTTTTTATCTTTTCAAAAAGAAAAAAACCCAACAACTCTTGGTTTCATTGATTTTTTTAAAAATTGTCTTTCTAGTCTCTATTAATATTTTGTTTATTTCTGCTCTAACCTTTGTTATTTC